TGACATCCATTTTAAGACTTTTTCTTTTTGCCCACACCATCAAGACAGAATAAACAATCTCGCAATGAAACCTGAGAGCAAAGCTCTGGACAATCAGCAAGATCTGAGGGTCACAGCAGACCACTATCTATATGGTCAAAACTGACAGTCCTCTAAGGATACCTTTCTGGGGTCTGAAGACCAAAAAGAAATTACAACCTTGAGATGAAATTCAAATTATCATAACTAGAAAGGACCACCAGTAAGTGGAGCCCATAAAAACCAAGCCATGCACAGACTCCTACAAGGCCCAGGAGCAAGGCTCAGAAGATTCAAGTTAGAGCTGTAGTTTTCTTAACAGACATGTTTCTTCCACTCAGCAGCAGGGTAATGACACATGTAATAGTGATAGAGAATATATTAAATTAAAGAGATAAAACAAAAAGCAACAGACCAGCAACAGTGAAAAAACAAAAATACACACACACACATACATACAGTGTGTGTGTGTGTGTGTGTGTGTGTGTGTGTGTGTGTGTGTGTGTGTGTGTGTGTGTGTGTAGAGGGGCAGGGAGAGAGATAGCATCCTTAAACTTCTTCCAGGACTGGGGCCCAACCCACCATTATGCTTCAAGGCTGGAATAAATCTTTATCTCCTTGGAAGAGCACTGGCCAGATATTACTGGCCATGTAAGCAAAATATCTATATTAATCTTCGAACACTACAAACACAGTCCAAAACACCCAGATACTTATATTTTGAAGACGCTGAAGAGCTGCAATCAAGCAGAGAAAAGCTGATTTGCCTCTCTCATCTCAAGCTGGTTCAGGGCCATAAGCTCACTGAGTGGTAAGAAAGGAGAAACCAAGGCACTATCCAATTAATAATCAGTGTCTCTTCATCTGTCTGTTGATCCCTGTCTTTCACCTTGTCTCCCTCTCACTCTGTCTCCAGCCCTCTATCTCTTTCTTTGCCTCCATCTCGCCTCCGCCTTTCTCATCCTTCAGGCACCATATCATGTCAGTGAAGCAGGCTTCTGAAGCAACTCCACTACTTCAAAAGACTATCAGACCGAAAAACCCTAAGGTAGAACCTAAGAACAAATGTAAAAGAAACCCTGACCAGTATTAAAATTATGCCTCTGCCTATGTGTAGCTACTTGTTTTTAAAAATATCCTCGTTAAGTGGGACTGGTGTTCAACTGTTGATCTTTTCCTCCAGACTTTAGTGATCATTGTTATAAGAACATGCTGACATGAACTGTCTTGACAATCCACGTATAGTTCGCACATGGGTAGGTTTGGTTCTTCTCAATTAAATTTCTTGTTTCTAAATTATTAAATAAAAGACTCCCTTTCACTATTGTGTGTATAGAAAGGTCACAAACCATGTGGCACAGCTGACCACCCAGGACCGATTCTAGTGTCTGACCAAATCCCACCTTAGCCCTGTCTGAGAGGTCACCAATCGCACTTTCACTTGTTATGCCACAGGAATCCACCCTGGGTCTGTCCCTGATCTGGCTACTGCGGCAGAACCTGTGCCCATTCACAAATTCTTTGTGGTTCTGATACTAGCTGGACCCTAATGTTTTTGTTTGTGGGAATGTGAGGTTTTAAGCTAATTTACCAAAGTGAATCAATTCACAGATACTCAAAATCGCTACAAATGGAGTTGAGAAAACTCTGAAAAGCTTCAGCTCTACCCAGGGGAGAGATGAGTTCCACCATTCCTGTTTCAGGTCAGGTCAAATGCACAAATGGAGTTGAGAAAACTCTGAAAAGCTTCAGGTCTAACCAGGGGAGAGATGAGTTCCACCACTCTTGTTTCAGGTCAGGTCAAATGCTTAGTGCATATACACACACACGCACACACACACACGCGCACGCACACACACACACACACGCATACACCCATTTCTTTCTCTTTTTGCCAGCCTCTGAGCACCATGACCAGCTCACAAGAACTTGAAAAAGAAATGAATAAAAAAAACACAGCATGAACTAATTGCATTCTCAGTATATGAACCAAGGAATCGAAGAACACAGGCTCATTCAATTCATTCAGCAAATATTTAGTGAGTACATTTATCGAGTACCTACTGGGTACGAACTTCCTTTTCACCAAAATAATGCCCCTGACACCGGAAACTGGCCAGGCTAGGTTATTACGAGTCTGCTTTCTGTCTCTCCCCAGACGTTCTCTCCCCACTTTGAGAACTTTCCTTGGCCTGGTACAATCTTCCTTTCAGAATTCTCTTACATAACCACATCACCTTGCCCATCCTGGTTTCACCTGCTGGCTGACCTAGTTGCAGCTTACTAGGAAGTGGTAACGGTCCATCCTGACCCTGTATTCTGTGGACACCTGCCCAGCTCAGGTTAATAGTTCACACGACTGCTCTGGACCCTCCCTTCCCAGACTTTAATGGAAAGACTTCCTCAGTTTTCTAAGAGGAAATGAACTTAGTGTTGACACACATCCCAGAACCTGTTTTCAGCCTTTCACAATGCAGTATTATTTTCACTCTAGTAACACAGTTATTGATGACTGGGGAGTTTAACCCAAATTTGCTTTATATTTTGATCGAAGAGCTTGAACAAACTTTGAAATGGAAATCGCTACCACATTTTGACTCTAAAGAACCAAACGTTCTTATATCTGATGTCTGTTCTCCTCAAACTATACATGAACACCCTACATCCCCATAGGCATGGGACAGGGTGCCACCAGGGGGAAGATGGAGTGCCAGGTGGAAAACAAAGCCACCAGATGAAATGGCACACCTTCCTGAGAGACAATTTCCCCAAGGAAGAAAATATAATATTGTATATTAAAACAACCCCCATATATTATGAAAATGAACAAACATGAGTTTTAAGATAAAAACTCAAGACTTCAAAGAAAGTCCCTGCTTGCTAGTTCCATCAGGCTGTGCCCACAATAGATGGAGTTTTCCTGCAAATAACTCTCTTGTCTTTAAACGGTCCTGAGGAAATTTTTGAGAACTATTTCATCCACACTATAAACTTCTTGAAGGCATAAACTACATCTCATCCATCTTTTTGTCTCCAGGGACTTAGGACAGTACCTAAGATAGTACCTAGCACAAGACAACGATATATAACTACAGAATCAACCTGGCTGAAATAATGGCAATGGCGTTATCAATAACAAAAGAGTTTTATCACATTTAAATGGGAAGATGGGAAGGTCAACAGTTGTATGAGGAACTGGAATAGAAGCAATCCAATTTACCAAAACAGTTATGGCTGCCATGGTAACAATCAGATGAAGCAGCTCCATTTAGTTATTTTCCACTTGAACAAGTACAGGAAGGCAAATATTGTACTTGTTAATCTCCCATCAGAAGGGGGTGGAGCTTAAGAACACAAGTCTACCAGGTGTACTGGGGGCCATTAATTTTAATAACCTTTGAAGAGTTTGAAAAAGTACGACAGCAATATCACCAATAATATTTAAGTTCTGGTTTGTAAACTGATCAAAAGAAAGTCATTTTAATCATTTATGGGTCAAATATCTGCTGCTAAGACCTGACAACTGTGAAAAGTAGTCCATGTATCTGTGTGTATATACATAAAAATAATATGATGTGGACTCACCTTTCCTTATTCCTAAAATTTTTAATTAGCTGGACCCAAACAAAGTTATAGATGAAAGATGATTCAGAGTAGAGTTCACAGTGATGTTTAAATTTTTCTATTTCCCTGGTGAAGACACTATATTTTAATTCATTTGTAAATACTAGGAAAGATGGATATCACACCCACTTTCTCTACACAATCCCTCTTATACTGCAGTGCGTCACTCACTATGCCCAGTGTTCCCTGTACTTTCCAAACTGGAGGGAGAACTGGGTGGAGGCAGAAGGGAGGACTCCTGGTGCTGCAGGTCTAATCTCTGAATGGGTGAGCCAGGCCACTGCCGCCTCCCAGAGCTTTCTTTTTTCTAAATCTACGTCTCAGGTAAGTAAACTGCCAACCAAAATGATACCTTTCTGTTCTTCTCAATAATGACAGCCAGAGCTCTACAAAATTTCAACTAAAATCTAAGTAGAAAGCCGAAAAGCATTTTACAGCATTCACATGTTTATAATGCCTGAGGAAGAAGTGAAAGTAACAGCTTGAGACATGTGAGGACACCAGGAATAGACAGATGCAAATTAATATCAAACAAACAAAAAAAAACCTGAGTAGCTTTCCCCCTATTTCTTGAACTAGAAGGTATCCTTTTCTCCCTGAGAATTAAGTTAGTCACTTTATATTATGTTGTATCTGTCAGCGTCATAATAGTAGAGAATTTACTGCTTGATTTTATCATTTCATTCTGTGTGTATAAAAAGAGTTTTTCAGTTCACAACATCTGAGATCAAATCTCTGCTCTTTTATTTAGTGGGCAAGTCCCATAACATTTTATAGGTCTAAGCGTCAGGGTCTAAGTTCCTCCATCAATCAGAGATAAGAAAGTCTATTCTCCCACCCCCAAGTTATTCTGAAATTTAAACAAATGAACTCTAGAATGTAGGCATCAGTGAATATATGTGTCCAGCAATATATGTGCCCAACAATGTCTCTTTTTCTACATAGTAGTAGGAAAAAGAACACATGCAAAAACTACTACAGAGGATACCAGTTGGCAAACGCACCGTGTCACTTCACCGCTCCAGGATGCAGCCTGGAGTCCTTGAGTGGGTGACGTAACCAGGTCGCGTTGAAAAGGGGAGCGCTCCTAAACCGCTGTCCCGGAAGAATCTCAGAACGCTGAGGATTTCACACGGCCCATGTCATTAACAAAGTGTCCTTTGCAGGGCTCAGAAATGCGCAAGTGAAACTTTCTCCCCAACCCTGACTCTGAACGCATTCCCTTCCTTAACTCTTAGGGGATCTCAGTCTTGGAAAAGTTAGTGAGTAGGCGAATGCAGAAAAGCGACTCACAGAAGAGTAGGGTCTGCACAAGGAAACACCCCCATCACCTCGAGCCCTCCAACCCACACACGCACCTGGGGATGAACTCGGCCTCGTCCCCGAGACGCTCCTGAAAGTCCTGCCAAGCCTGGCCGGGTCCCGCCGGGCCCCAGGGGGCTGCCAGCGCCGCCGCCGCGTCTTCGTCGCCCTCTTCCTCCT